GTTTCGGTTGTTTCAGTCGTTTCGTTGTTTCTAGTTTTAGTCTATGCCCCGAAGAACAGCAGAAGTTTTATCCTGTTAAGATTTCCTTAAAACACGTCCATACGGTCGACAATAGGTAAAATGCCATTGAAGCATCACTTAAGTGTCAGTGAAGTATCGGTGAAGCATCGGCCAAGTGTCGACCGAGTGTCGGCCAAGTGTCGGTCAAATATCGACCGACTGTCTACCGATATGTCGACCGACTATCGGCCGACATATATCGGTCGACATATCGACCAACATGTCGACCGACAGTCGTTCGACTGTCGACCGACATGTTGGCCGACACTACCTATAGTGAAATTGATCCGTAGATTAATAGTTACAGTAAATCTAGATTATTTCGTTTTCTTCAGCTAATCGAAAAATCGCAAATGTTCGAGTGTATCCGTTCGATCAAATATGTGTTTTTTTTTTCCTTCAGGCATTTTATTAAATTTTTCGGCGCCTTTTTGTAAACATAAATAGAATACGATGATGTCAAAAAAAGAAACTTTCCTCGCTCACTTCTTCAGGTTATTTGTGAGAAATATTTCCGATATGAAGCCCGGCGCTCCCATATTTTACTCGCATTAAAGGTAAAGTATTACCTAGAAACAAGATAGCTTATTCGCCGCAATGAAAAGCATGATGAGTCAAATTAGGAGTTATTCCAATCAATCGTGAGAAAATTCCTTCACGCCTGGCAGTTCAGTTGGTATCATCTTGTCACACGCCCCCCATCCTTCCTCCATCCCTACCGACTAAGCACCACAGTCTCTTTTTTTCAAACGTATCCCTTTTATCATCTGTGAGGTACGGGGTCGAATATTTTCGAAGCTACCGTTTTTTTAAGGTTTCTTCCTCTACATTTTCATTACTGTTCAACTGTGAGATCGCTTGTTTTCAATTTGCTCACTTACGTCGAAAAGACTAACCAAGCCGTCCTAAAATGTTCTTCAGATATGCTAGAATTGGTGTGAACGCCGTGGACTTGGCTGCCGACGCAGAACCACAACGCTCGGTTCATACACAGCGGTTGATAATTCTTTGATACGACAATCACTTTTCTTGTAGCTCCTGATTGCGCAAAAGAATCCCAAAAATTACATTAGTAGAGTTGAACCACACTTGAAGGCAATTTTCGAA